CCTAATTACATCAGTTGGTGTCAAGCATCGTTTGGAATATATAGATTTAGAAATAAAATACAAAACAACAATGTTATGCAGTACATTAAGTGTTTTCATTCTATAGCGCTGTCAAAAGCTGAGATTCTATTAAAGCAAACTTCTCAACTGAATGAAAGGGTTGGTAGCAAAATATGTGGAGCCACATTTATTACGGGTAACTTTGCGCAACGGATGATTGTTGTTTTTTTTTTTGGTGCGGCTCCAAATAGCTGAAGGGACGGCCCACACCCTCATTTATAACATTACTTTTTAAGCACGACATTGCCAGGTACTTTTGCGAGAATTAACTATGTAATATGTCTTATCATATTTAATTTTGGCTACCATTTTCGTTCAAAATTTAAATATTCCATTTCGTAGAAAATAATTAAGAAAAGAAGAAAATCCAGAAAATAAGTTTCCTCGTCGCTTTCCATTTGCTGTTACTAAAGAACAATTGGTATCTAATTAAAATTTTCGTCGACAGAGGTTTTCACTCGCACAAGCACACAAATCAAACGCTATACACTATTCTCTTCAAAGGCTGTAACGAGGTCATTTAGCAATGAAGCTAACAGTCAGCGTTATTTTCTCACACATTTTAAAGAATTTCTTGATTTGCCGGCATTTAAAGTGAAACATCTGTTAGATAATGCCATAGAAGCCGTTTCTATGGTTAAAGAAAAAAAAATTCTCAAACTGTACTTAAAATGCTTTTATTAGATGGAACTAATTTTGCTAAGTTAAGGAAACAGTAACGAGTTTAGTTGTGTAATTTCATTACTTAATGTCGAGTCTAAACATTTTCATTACTTGTCAGCGTTATATAAACAAAGTGTAATTTAAATACCATTAACTACTGTTAATCCTGAAACCACGTGTAAGGTTAACAAGGAAGTTTTATTAAACCATTCATTAATGTTATCCTAATAAATATAAAGTTCTATGGTGAGCAGCTTATTTTCCATTTGAGTTATAATTTGGAACACAAAATGTACCACATATGACATTTTATATTAAGTATCACGACGTATTAACAAAGCATCACTTGTTGTTATTTATAGCTACAAAAACAAGAAGACTGGACGTGGCCTAGTGGTTTGCATATCGGGCTGTGGATCAAAGGATCCAGAGTTAGAGACGTGATACCATTAACACTTTCCGCATTTTTAGCTGTGGACACCTTACAAAAGTGACAGTCAGTTCCGTTATTTTGTTCAAAGACCGAGAAGAGCTCTTGTGGCAGCAGGTCAGATGGTCGGCTGCTCTCCCAATGGTCACCAGTTCAAAATTAGGGTAACTATACCCGAATCTTAGGGAGTCTCTAACCTGGCCGTTTGTTTCACGTGGGCAATAAACTCGAAAGTTCTGATTAGACAAGCAAGAAAATTCCTCGTTTTCATCTGGAAAACCAAGCTGATGAAACAAGCTTGAAAAAATGCTCTGATAACAGAAACCCTAGTTATTTGTAATTACAAATCCATCTTGATGTTGCTTATAAAACTGAACTTTAGTGGGAGCTACTTGCTAACCTTAAAATATGTTCTCTTTTATAACAAAAACTGTAGTTACATTTCATTGAGTGTGTATACGTATATGCTTAAATTAAAGAATCAACTAATAAAATTTAAAACTTAGACCGTATATTAAATATGTTTATTGCTATTTTGTAAAGAAATCAGAGAATGTACGTTACAACTTGCATTACTTTACTGTTAATGTTATTTACAAGTAGTTTCTAATCTAACTCTCCAGTGTATTTGGCATGAAAATTGTATTATTAAATATCAGTTCACACACATCTACGTATAAAGTGAGAAATCCACTTCAAATTATGACAACAATCATAATTTCATGTCTAGATTTGTTTTGTTTTTGTTTGTTTGTTGTTGTTCTATGTATATTGTTTCGACATGTCTGGCAAGGCTGAGTGAGTAACAAAAAAAACAAAAAACAATCTAATAACTATTAAACATTTAGCAAATTATAGATGAAATATAGTGTTCCTGTCATGACTTGTCTCTAAAAATCAGGCGCAAAATGAATGTGAAACAGGATTGAAGAACTCGTCAATGTTTCATTCCATTCAAATATAGCGAGTGAATTCGAAACGAAATGAATTTTAACGATAAAGAAAACTGTATTAGATGCGGATGTTATTTTATTAAGAGTGGATATACATATATATATATATAAAGATGTTCTTAATTATAAAGATGATGAGTTGTACATAATGTTTGTTTTTTCTTTTAACTCCAATGTTATCCAGTTTCCTAAATCAGTATCTTCTTGTATTTCTACTCATAATATTATTGCTATTAATATATTTGAAAAGTACAAAAAAAAACTGCAGAAAAGAGTACACTAAATGTAAATATTGAAGCATGAAAGTGAGATGTCGTTAGAAACTAAACAAGTGTCTAAACTTTCTCTTACTCAAGACGAAAATTGAAATGTAGTATAAAAGTTAGTTCATAAAACTTGATTAAAGATTATATCGTTCCAGTATTGTAGAAACTAAGCTTGTAATAACAGTTAAATTGGTGATAGTTGAAAAAGAAAGATTAATGAGAGTATCTAAAATAAAAACAACTATAACTGCATAATTATAGGTATCGTTTCGATTGGCATTCACAGCAGATAGGAGAGGGCGTTTATTTAAGCACGTTTAACTTATATTTAACTTATATGCAATGTATTATACAAAGCTGAGAAAATTAGGAAAAATATAGTAACAGAAGATTATGTGTAGGACACAAAATTATACATTTTGTGAGAATGTGAAATGATTTGGTTTGTTTATTTTAGCCCAAAACTACACATTAGGCTAAATGCGCTCTGTTCACCGCCGGAAATCGAGCCCGGGGATTTTAGCGTTATAACACCGTAAACTTACTACTGACATACAAGGAAGGACGATTTAGAAGTTAGCTGAACTGGTAACGGTAGAACAACAATACAAAGTGTTGAATTAAAATAAGCCGATATGAAATTAAGGATGGTAATGTAATATATGTATTGTTTGAAAGTGAACCGTAGGAAAAGAGGGGAAATGATAGTACATTTATTGTTTGAAAATAAACAAATGTGAAAAGTGGGAACTGTAGTACATTAATTATTTGAAAATGAACAGATGTAAAAAGTGGGAATAGTAGCACATTTATTGTTTGAAAATAAACAGATGTAAAAGTGGGAACTGTAGTACATTAATTATTTGAAAATGAACAGATGTAAAAGGGAAAGATAGT